ACCGACCGCAGCCCCCTCTCCGTCCGTGGGAGCGCCGGCTCCGGCGCAGCCCCAGCGGCCGGGGGAGCCCCGCCGAGTCACTTCAGGAGGCCCTTGGTCTCCCCCGAGATCCTGGCCATGTTGGAGGCGGTGAGGGCCGAGAGGTGGGGCGGGGGAGGCATCTGGCAGATGGTGCAGGGGCACGGCAAGCCCGCCCAGTGTTGGAAGCCGCTGCCGAGCTGCAGGGCGGGGGGTGTGGAGGGGGTCTTGAGCAGGGAGTGTGGGGGCCGGATGGTGCCGATGGCCGGCAGGGAAGCGGAGAGGGAGGAGGAGGTGTTGGCGGAGGACAAGGCACTGCCGAGGATGGGATGCACCTGGTGCACGGTGCCGGCGGCGTGGGGCGGGTGCCCGGCAGAGTGTCCCACCGTGCCGCAGTGAAAGGCCGAGTGGTGCCCCCCGTAGATTTCCCCAACGAGCCTCTTCATCTCCTCCAGGGAGCTGGTGAGCATCAGGATATAGTTTCTGGCTAGCAGGAGAGTGGCGATTTTGGAGAGTTTTCTCACAGAAGGTCCGTGAGCGTAGGGCATCACCTCCCGCAGTCCGTCCATGGCGAGGTTGAGGTCGTGCATCCTCTTACGCTCCCGGCCATTGATCTTCAGCCGCAGCTGCTGCAGGTCCTGCTCCGAAAGCTGCTTCTTGATTTTGTACTTGCTGCCTTCCCCTCCGGCCTTGGAACCGTTCCTGGTGAGGCCTTCCCCAGACATCTTCTGCACCAGATCGTTCTGGGTGGAGGAGACCGAGTTGAGCCGGCTGTCTTGGTGGTGGTGATGGTGGTGGTGGTGGTGATGGTCTCTCAGGTACATCTCATCCATGTCTGGCGAGGAAGCTCTGCTGGAGACAGAGCTGGAGTCAGAATTCATTGTATTCGGGCTTCTGAGCAAGAAACTCTTCCCTGCTCTGGAGGTCGCGGAAGAAGACAACTCTCCTTCAAAAAGCAACAAAAACAAAACGAAAAGGAAATAAACGGACGGCAGGGTCTGCCAGCAAAGGACTGGAAATGCTGGAGGAAGAGGGAAAAAGCCCCTCAGGCCCCTCTCTCTCCAACGTCTCTCTCTCTCTCTCTCCACCCGGTTACTCAGCCTGTTTACAGGATGGCTAGTTAGTGTATGCTTGGACTAACCTCAGCTTGAAAAAGAGGGGCTTTTATAGAGCTGCAGCAGAGAGCAGAGACAAAAGGAGCCCTCCTATGTATAATGGTCTAGTTAGGATGACGTGCCATTATTCAGGGCGGTGCGCTTTGACTGTCCCATTTAGCAAGGACCCCTATTCATATTCATTGTGGTGCCACCCGGGACACCTCAGCCACGGACCATCAGGAGTCAAGGAGACACAAAACCCCTCTGATTGACACCGCACACTCATCGCTCCGTGTGCGCGCCTTCTCCTCCCCCTGCCTTCTCATTTCCAATATAAAACCTCATCCCGTCTACAGTAGGGAGGCAGGGGGCTGCGAGGGGCCGGCCAGCGAGCCCCGGTCGCGGGCAGAAGCCGCCCGGGGAAGTCTCTCCGCTACGGGAGGGGTTGGGGGACGTCGGTCGCCCCCGTCCTACAGCATGCCCGGCTCCAGCCGCGGCTCCACGCTTTGTTTGCCTTTCCCTCCCCCTTTCGCTGTCCCCCCCGGCCGGGGCGTGTGGTGCGGCACCGGC